TGATACCGGCATCTCGTTTTTACCATCGCACCGCCCGCCACCGGAGTAGAGTTCATCCATACTACCTGGAGCCACTGCGGTCATCCACAGTGCGTTTCCAGAGATCTTTTTTGCCACGTACCATCCGGCTATGGAATGAGCTCCCCTCCACGGTGTTTCCCGAGCGCTATGACATGTCCTTCTTCAAACGAGGCTTGTGGAGAGTATTAAGCGGTAGGCAGCGGCTTGGCTCTGCCCCTGGCATTGCTGAAGTCCATGGGCGACGGTAACCACTCACCATCAGGTGGGCCGTATGCCCGTCTGCCTAAGCAATAATACAGATTGATTTGAATATAATCGTCTCCTTCAAAGAATACGGTTCAAAACCTGCATTAAATAAAGGTTAATAGTTAACCTGTTATTTATCTAAGATGTCGTTCCGAAGAGTTTTGTGACTGCCAATGGAATACAAAGTCAATAATTCGTTTTTCTGATTTACCAATAATTGTCCAAAAGTCACATTGCCGGCTTTGATAATAGTCGACTCATATATAATCTATTCGGTTTCAAAATTAGTATAAAGGTTTGGGGAGATATACGACAAAGGGCTCTTGAGGGACAAAGAACGGTTAATGCAGAATGGTATGCTAGCATTTGTTTGCCACAGGTCGTTTCTGAACTCCGTAAAGAGAACTGCAACCGCCGCATCATCCTCCATCACGACAATGCGAGTTCTCACACCGCGCACAGAACAAAAGAGTTTTTAGAGCAAGAAAACATAGAATTATTAGACCATCCGCCGTACAGCCCCGACCTAAGCCCTAATGATTTCTATACTTTCCCTAAAATAAAGAATAAATTGCGTGGACAGAGATTTTCATCACCTGAAGAAGCTGTGGACGCCTACAAAACGGCCATTTTAGAGACCCCAACTTCCGAATGGAATGGTTGCTTCAATGATTGGTTCCATCGTATGGAAAAATGTGTCAAATTTCGCGGAGAATACTTCGAAAAGCAATAAATACATTTTTAAATAGTAATGTTGTGTCACTTCGTTAATTCCCGAACTTTTCAGTGCCGCCTATGTACCTCATAACTTTTGACTGAAATAATCGATTTTGATGATTCTTTTTTTATTAGAAAGCTGACGCTTCCCGTGTGGTCCCATTTCAATTTAGTCCAGTTCTTATAATGGTATCCATGAGAAAACCATATAAGTCTTAAATTAGCATTAAGTACGTGCGCGACAAATAGATGAATAACTCAATAACTCAATATCACGCCAACCGATTTCGATGATTATTGTTTTTAGTGTATATTAATTTGTTTTGGAATATCTTTTTTTTTTTCTATTTGAAGTCGGTTTTTGTTAAAGCATGTCTATTTACAATTATATTATTTTAATCTATGACATTCTCTATATGACGGTAAACGTGAAAAAGTGGGAGAAAACGATTGCCGCGTCTAGTAACTGTTAGTTGTTAGCTTTACAATGCGCGTCACATACATATTATATCGCAGTGCGCCGTCTCTTCTAGACAGAACAATAATTACGAAAGAAAACTCATAGAGTATAACCATGAGTGAGAATAAATAAAATAAGTTTAAGTCAAAACGGCAAAAATAGGCGGGGTGGTGGTACCTACCCGTGCGGACTCACAAGAGGTCCTACCACTAATATTGTTTTTAGGAATGGAGTGCTTATGAAGTGATCTACACTCAGCATTGAGTGGACACGCGTTGAACAAGATAATGGTTTTGTTTTTTTTTTAATTATTTTTGTCGTTTCTTTAAAAGTAAATCTACGCTTTGATTCCGCGTTTATTATAAGTTACATAAGTTTATTTCTTGGTACACGGGCGACTGTGGTCGTTATTCGGTCGCTTACATATTGCAATAACTACCGTCTAATAATGCGTTATAAAAATGCATATGCAAACAAACGTGATTGCATATGCAATTGCAGGGGGAAACGGGAATTAGTTCGCCCGTCTTGTGCTAAAAAAAAAAACCGCTTCGAATCCAGTCCGCACTTTAAAGCTCACAAAAATAATGTTTACTTTAAAAAAAAAAACCTTTAAACGAGCATTTCTTGTATATAAATATATAAATATATATATATATATATATATATATATATATATAATCTGAATCTCGGAAACGGCTCCAACGATTTTCATAAAATTTAGTGTACAGGGGATTTCGGGGGCGATAAATCGATCTAGCTACGATTTATTTTCAGAAAATGTTCGTTTTTTTTTTCGTGTTTTCAATAATCAACTTTATCGATAATCAACTTTATGACTCTTCCCGGCATCTATTGGCGAATAATAATACTATTTTTCTTAATTGAGAGCAACTAACTGCTTTAAAACAGTCGTCAAAAAACTAAACTTACCGATGCTCTCAGCCATGCACTCTCACTTAAGTGGAGATGGGCCGGACACATCTCACGATACCCAGACAAAAGATGGACCATTGCAGCCACACGATGGAAAGGACCAATGGGGAAAAGGAATGTTGGTCGACAATTAAGACGATGGGCTGATGACATAACACACGTCGCAGGAAACGACTGGATAAAATCAGGCAAAGACAAGGAGTCATGGAAAAGGATGGAGGAGGCCTTTACCCAAATAGGGGTCCAAATCTCATAAATAGTACTAATATCAAATAATTAATTAATTATAAGTATGTAACCTTTTAATTTTAAACTACAACTTACTAACAATCATTGTGTTATAAATCGAGAGTGAGAATTGGATTAAATGGCTTTATTATTATTATTATTAACTGCTTTAAAGACACAACAATATGTTGTTATAAAAAAAAAACCGAGTAAAGCACGGTCATAATCTAGTTTACTTTAAAAAAAATTACGAACACACTCCTTGCATTTTTCTAATAAGGTATTTAAAAAAACTGAAATATTCCATGTACATACCTGAAAGCACCGGTCGCCGACGCGAAAGCTCCAAAACGAAAGCGCGGTTAGCAATCGTCGAACTTTTATACTAAACGTTATCACTACACCTATTTATTACGATCAATAGTTTAATCTCGCTGTCGCAGTTCGCCGCGTACTAAAACGTATCTGATTTCGGTTTGTATATTTCACGCATACATTACCAACAAAACGAATGTACTTTTTATTTATTGCTTAGATGGTGGGCGTGCTCACAGCCCACCTGGTGTTAAGTGGCTACTGGAGCCAATAGACATCTACAACGTAAATGCGCCGCCCACCTTGAGATATAAGTTCTAAGGTCTCAGTGTATAGTTACAACAGCTGCCGCACCCTTCAAACCGAAACGCATTACTGCTTCACGGCAGAAATAGGCGGGGTGGTGGTACCTACCCGTGCGGACTCACAGGAGGTCCTACCACCAGTAAAAGATCACGGGAGATTCAGGAACCGGTTAGAGGAAGATGGGAGAGCCCATATGACAGATGATTAGGAGTCGTCGTTTGTTAGGTGAGAGATTTTGGTTCACTTTTCGTAAGACATAGTTTTCTTGATCGGTTTTCGACCTCTAGTTTGTCTAGAAGATTCTAGAAAGCGCTGGCTGGATAAAAGATGTCGCCGTTTGAAATTGGCACAAGAAGAGGGCATCGAAGGGTGGAACACGCGTGTATTTTTTAAAACAGTTTACATTTGAAAGATTACATTCAGTTTTCCCGTATTAGATATTAATCATCTTTTATAGGGCAAATAGGCAGTCGACCTACCTATGCTCCTTGAGACATGAGTTCTAAGTTTTTTAATTACATCGACTGTCCGACTCTTCAAACTGAAACACATTACTAATTCAAGGCAGAAATAGGCGGGGTGGTGGTATTTACCCGTGCGGACTCACAAGACGTCCTACCTTATATCTCATGGTGGGTGGCGCATTAACGTTGTAGATGTCTATGGGCTCCAGTAACCACTTAACACCAGGTGGGCTGTGAGCTCGTCCACCCATCTAAACAATAAAAAAAAACAGAAACCCAAATACACAGCCATAAAATACATTAAACTTAAAAACATTGTCCCACAATAACCCCCCAAGACAGTAACATATTAATAATTCATTTGGAGCCAACAAAAAGTTACAAATTAACATAGGGCGATACAAATCCGGGAGGTCAGAATGCCTCAAAGGATACATCTATTCGTGGTAACGTATTCACGCGTGAACAGGATATCTATCGGTTTGAAGTTCAAAATGTCAGATTTGAGACTGAATTTGATGATAACGTGCTCCCTAGTTCGCGTTCGCTGACTTAAGTGAGCTACTTCCTCGATGAAAAGATCCAGTCGTAATTTTTTTAATTACCTTTGTGGGTAGACACACATCGCGGCATAATCAAGCCACTGCATACCATTTAAGGAGACTCTTTAAGCCTCGGGAAAGAACAGGGTTCATTCAAGAGCCGGGTAGTACTTTTTATTTTTGTATTGCTTCGATGAGTGGACGAGCTCACAGCTCACCTGGTGTTAAGTGGTTACTGGAGCCCATAGACATCTACAACGTAAATGCGCCACCCACTTTGAGATATAAGTTCTAAGATCTCAGTATAGTTACTACGGCTGCCCCACCCTTCAAACCGAAACGCATTACTGCTTCACGGCAGAAATAGGCGAGGTGGTGGTACCTACCCGCGCGGACTCACAAGAGGTCCTACCACCAGTTCAGTTCACCAGTACGTGGTAAAAAAGATTATAAGAAGCGCCCTATCGATGAACGCGGCAATGTAGCGACGCATATTGCTAGCCCGCGCGGGTAGGTAACAATAACTTACCTATTTTTGGCGCGAAGCAGTTACGCCCAAGTTTTGAAAGGTGAGGACGACTTACAAACGTCCACGTGTCTCAAATTGGACAACCTCATTCGCGTTCGTAATATCTACAGGCCGTAATAACAACTTTGCCTCAGATTAACTATGCCATCTACCCACATAGAGCAATAAAAAAATCTAGAATAAATTTAAAGACACGGCACGTCTTATATATACGAACTTATGTTTAGAAAGCTCACCTCGCTCTGCAATAATCCCTGCAGCTCTTCAGAAAGCTTTTTCAAGGACACTATCTGAAAACAAAATTAAATTTTTTACACTATAACTACAAAGGGCATATTGTAAACTCCTATCTTGGATATAGTCCTCTAATATATTTATGGAGGTAAGTATTTTTGTGTTCCAATTTGAAGGGTGAGAATAAACATTATTGGATTGTAGTTTTTTTATTTTATTGCTAAGGTGTGTGGACGAGCTCACGGCCCATCTGGTGTTAAGTGGTTATCGGAGGCCATAGATATCTACAACGTAAATGCCGCCACCCACTTTGAGACATGAGTTGTATGGTCTCACTTTTAACAGTTGATTACAAATGCTACGTGCCTGTCTGTCTGCCTATCCACGCACTATGGATGAGCTCAATAGATTTGTTTGCTCTAGACGTGCTGACAGAACATGAGCTTGTTAAAATACAGTAATTAATCATAGTTGTTTTTCCCATTATACCAATATATAGTTAAGCATACTTATATTCTATACAACACGGATAAAAAATCCAAATTCCTATCTACGTTAACTGTTTGAATAAAGAAATGAAAAAAAAATTGATTCTGTCGATGATTCCAAATTTAAAAGCATAAAAACAAAATGACGCTAATTAATAAAATTTTATTGATTACTATATAAAAACTTAAATATAATCGAGAAAATAAAACTCATAAGAACTTTCCAGGCGACGATACACAGGAAAAGCGTCATAAGCCACACATACATCCAGAGAACACTACTACATAAACAAAAAGGCGCGATGTATATGCGAATTCAATTCATAATTCGAATTCATGCGCCCTGACCCATTGGTTGGAAGAATTTAAATAAATACTTATTTGAATTTCAAAATCGAGCGACGCTATTGGTCGGCTACGGTTTTATTAATGGCCGCCGAACGTGACATGTTGTTTTTCGTTCGATTGAATTTTAAAACGTTTTTATTATTATTTCGAAGCAGCGAAAACGATGTCGCAGCATTATTTATAATATTCAATGATTGAACAAAAACGTATAGTTCATACGTGGTCATGATTTACTGTAATCGAAGAACAAATAATGGGAATAAGATATATATACGTGTGTCTTTTCTTTTCTGACACTACGTCTATGGGGTCCATTTATAGTCCAGATTATCTAAATATTGTTTTCTTATGAAACTATTTTTTTTCTAAACTTGTACAAATCTGTTCATCCAATTTTGCTTGAATGCGTAACTACTTCTCAGTCGTTTCTTCGTTGTTGAGGATCGCGACATTGTATCATCGTTTTTTTCTACTTAAGCTGATGGTCTAGAGATATCAACGTCGCCGGGCTATTAGGTGAGCTCACGGGGCTCAAACCTGACGTTGTTGCTAACCCGAACCCTAGCAAGAGCCGTGCTTCGCAGAATCTACCACCGGATCAGAAACGCTACCCACTGAGAAGATCCGGCGAGAAACTCAGTGGGCTGTGTCTGTGGGTTAATTTACTCGCCGAGCCTTTCGTCGCAAGCGACGGGTTCGACGAGAACGATGACCGGTGTTTGGGGTACCTAAAAGCACCGTTAGTGGATCGGGAGGATCCGAGGTGACGTGGGCTGTGTAGTCGTGGCCTAACGCCTAAGACGTCCGGTGCATTCGTATCTAGCCATACAACGGTGTTCGAATCCCGCAGGCGGGTAGAATTTTTTCTAATGAAATACGTACTAACCAACTGTTTGCAATTGACTTCGACGGTAAAGGAAAATCGTCGTGTAATAAAAATCAAACCCGCAAAATTATAATTTGCATAATTACTGGTGGTAGGACGTCTTTTGAGTCCGCGAGAGTAGATACCGCCATCCTGCCTATTTTACTGTGACTTAGAGCTCATGTCTTAAAGTGGGCGGCGGCTTTTACCTAGTAGATGTCTATGGGCTCCGATAATCACTTAAAATCGGGTGGGCCGTGAGCTAGTCCACTATTCTAAGCAATAAAGGAAACTACTGCTTTTGTAATATTTTCAATGTTTTTCCCCATCTATTCCTACATATTATCTGGGGAGCTTCCTTTGCATTTCTAACTGCCAAATCACCTGATCAGGTGGCCTCTAGTTCTTGGCTTTCTATTTTGCTGGTAGGTTTAAATAGTTTTATATGGTATGGTTTAAATAGAAAGAACCAAAATATAATTAAATAAACGGATACATTGTCATTATAAGTCTACTAAATATTATAATACACAGCATTGTTATATCAAATATAATAGGTTGGGGAAAAAGTTTTTTAGCATTTTTTAAGAAAATTCGCAACGATTGAAAACGCTTAAACCTTTGTGCTTCCTCTCACAGACACTGCACTAGGACCATAAACATCGAACATTTTTTACTTTTTTTGTACTAAAATTTTAAAATGTATCGAATTTCTTCATTAGATTCACTCATCTTGACAGTGCCAAAAATATATAAAAATCACACATTTTCCTAATTTGAATTTGGAATTATCTTCTTTAAAATTTAACCTTTTAACGATACCAAAACCAGAAAGATACAAATAGTATAGTTAATTAGATTTTATTATAAGTTCATACATACTATAAAGCGAAAAGACTTTTCCCCAACCTTATTATATATTTTCAAGGTGGGTGGCGCATTTACGTTGTAGATGTCTATGGGCTCCAGTAACCACTTAACACCAGGTGGGCTGTGAGATCGTCCACCCATATAAGCAATAAAAAAAAATATTACTGCAAAGTATAAAAAATTAGTGGATTTTTTTAGTTCGTATGAATTGTTGAAAATCATGATGAGGTTCAACACATCACACATTAAGTCGGTGCATATAATGGTTATTGACTAATACCATAAACCGGAAGATGGGAATTAAAAGATTTTACTGGTGGTAGGACCTCTTGTGAGTCCGCGCGGGTGGGTACCACCACCCTGCCTATTTCTACCGTGAAGCAGTAATGCGTTTCGGTTTGAAAGGTGGGGCAGGCGTTGTAACTATACTTGAGACCTTAGAACTTGTATCTCAAGGTGGGTGGCGCATTTACGTTGTGGATGTCTATGGGCTCCAGTAACCACTTAACACCAGGTGGGCTGTGAGCTCGTCCACCCATCTAAGCAATAAAAAATATATATATATATATTATTATATCACTTGTAAAAACCAAATTAAATATTATCTTAATATCTACTGTAGTATTTTTAAAGTAATGAATTGAAAACGCCATCGCTTTTCAACATTGCTGACATCATCAGTGTTATTGACACTTAGGAAAGCTTAGCCGTTGCCTCGTAAAATATAACCTTTGTCACCCAGTCGTCTAATAAATGAGGCCGTCAGCGCAAACGTTAGGCCACTTTTGCACTAACGGCTTACCATAGTTAGTATGGACTTATGGAGATATCGAGGTTTGATATTACTTTTAGACTGCTTCGTAGGCAAAAACAATACGCGCGAAAATAATGTTTTTTTTTCTTAGATGGGTGGACTAGTTCACAGCCCACCTGGTGTTAAGCGGTTACTGGAGCTCATAGACATCTACAACGTAAATGCGCCACCCACCTTGAGATATAAGTTCTGAGATCTCAGTATAGTTACAACGGCTGCCGCACGCTTCAAACCGAAACGCATTACTGCTTCACGGCAGAAATAGGCAGGGTGGTGGTACCTACACGTGCTGACTCACAATAGGTCCTACCACCGGTAATTACGCAAATTATAATTTTGCGGGTTTGATTTTTATTAGGTACCTGATATTTTTCCTTCATCGTGTAAGGCAATCGTGAACATTTGTTGAGTACGTATTTCATTAGAAAAAATGGTACCCGCCTGGGATTCGAACACCGGTGCATCGCTCAACACGAATGCACCGGACGTCTTATCCTTTAGGCCACGACTCGTTCATGTAATGTTTACAAAGCCATTTGTTATCTATTGCTGAAACTAGGGATATGCCGGTTTTGCGTCTGTATTTATTTTGTTTTAAATAAATTGCAATTTAGAAGCACCAATTTTGAAAAATTGTGGGTTAGGTCACTTTTACGCTGATGGCCTCAAATACAACATTTCTTAAAATATACTCCCGTATAGTTAAATAAGTCTTATGCGGCCTTAACACAACCCTAAAATTAGTGGCGATATCGGGACGATAATCGTCCCTAAATCGTGAGCTCGCCCGAAGCGATTTTAGAGTTTAGGGTAAACAATAAAAATCGTGTTACGATTTAGGGTACGATTTAGGGTCCTCCCCACCGCTGCCCCAATATCGCAACTGATTTTAGGGTCGTGTGTAGACCACATCAAAAGTGTTCAGGTCATGAATATTTTCATGCGCTTAAAATTAATAAGCCACTATCATCTACGCTATAATATAATAGCGAATAGTATATAGCTCATAGCACAACAATATCGCACACCATACATTGTTAAGGACACGTTCACACTGTACCCAGCTCACTGAGTTTCTCGTCGGATCTTCTCAGTGGGTCGCGTTACCGATCCGGTGGCAGATTCTGCGAAGCACTGCTCTTGCTAGGGCCAGTTAGCAACACTCCGGTTTGAGCCCCGTGAGCTCACCTACATGTTAGGGCGAAGCTGAAATAGCCTCTCAAGGCTATCAGCAGAGGAAAGAAAAAAAACGTACTGTACTATATATTATTGGCTAAGTATAAGTATACTATATGGCACTATGGTATTATTTTTTTGTTTTTTTATTGCTTAGATTGGTGGACGAGCTCACAGCTCACCTGGTGTTAAGTGGTTACTGGAGCCCAGACATCTACAACGTAAATGCCGCCACCCTCCTTGAGATATAAGTTCTAAGGTCTCAAGTATAATTACAACGGCTGCCCTACCCTTCAAACCGAAACGCATTACTGCTTCACGGCAGAAATAGGCAGGGTGGTGGTACCTACCCGCGCGGACTCACAAGAGGTCCTACCACCAGTAAAAAAGCGTATAGCGTAGTCTGAAAGCAGCTTTACCATAGGGCTAGGAGGCACTGCGGCCGACAAGCTTCCAAAAGCACATCAACCTGAGCTTATTTTGTAACAATCAAAA